CGCCCTCGAGAACCCCAGGACCAGCATGATATGGGCGTTCGCGCCAATGACCGCGCTCTTGGATCTCGAGGGGGTGTTCCGTGTGGAGGTGGATTACTGCATGCATGGCGAAGAATGGAGGAAGCCAACTACGTTCATCACCAACGTGAAGAAGATGGCGACGCTACAGCGGGTGTGCTTGTGCCCCGCGAGCCGATGCAGTCGGACTGGCCGTGCTCACCGAGAACTACGAGGACGATCACCAGGTGGACTACGGTGGACTCAGGTGGCATGTGCTTACCCGCTGGAGTTGTGCAGGGCAAACGCGTCCACTCTGCAGGAGCTCGAGCCGCGCTGGGACTCGATACCAGCGGGGGCCCGGCTTCGCCTGCAGGGCGATCGCGGGCGCGTCGTGCGAGCGACTGGGCCGGCCCTGCCTCTGCTGGGCCATTGGCTGGAGAAGAAGTGGCACGTGCTGTTTCAGGGACGTTGGTCTCACGTAGAGCACAACAATGTCTTGGAGCTGCGTACGGTGGTGGCGGTGCTCCGACACCTCAGTCGCACGTCCCAGAGCTGGAACCACCGCGTGCTGTTCTTCACCGACTCGTTGGTGAGCCTGGGCCTTCTCAAGAAGGGGCGCTCGTCTGCCAAGGACCTCTTGCACCTGGCGAGGATCGGCGGCATCATCCAGATGGTTTGCAGGATCCGCGGGTACTTCAGGTGGGTGCCGAGCGAGCTCAACCTGGCAGACGGCCCCTCGAGAGGTCAAGGCATAGGCGCGGCGGAGGACACCGTGGCGGGCCACGTGGGCCGTGGGGTGCCGAAGGAGCTACTTCAGCGGCTGCAAGATCGGGCCCGACGAGGACCGCCTGGAGCTTCGCATTTGCGATGGCCATGAGCGGGCTGGCGCTGTGCGAAGCGATGCCGCGGCGCGGGGTGGACGGCCCCGCTACGACCTCTGCAAAGCCCCCCCCTCTGGCCAAGAGGGGCGCTCGGGCCTGGGAGCAGGCCCCGAGTGACAAGCTGCACCACAATGTGAGGCTCGTGGTGCACGCAGTGGACGACGCCACGAATCAGATCTACGAGAAGGAAGTGAGGACCTTCCTCCTGGACGTGAAGCGGCACGGGCTCCCCTTCTCCACTTACGAGGAAAGGGATGCGGCGCTTGGCGGGTGCATATCGGACATGTGCTACGTGATGCAGTTGCCCTTCGGCAGGGCGTCAGCGTTGTTCAATGGTTTCATGCACATCTTCGAGGACCACCGCAATCGGCTCCCCGTCGCGGCCAGGGCGCTGAAGTCCTGGTCTAGGATGGGCTTCCAGAAGGAGGGGGCGCCGGTGCCGTTCGAGGCGGTGGGGTGCGTGCTCTACGACCTCTTTGAGCACGGCCAGCTGTACGAGGGGGCCGCGGTGCTGCTGCAGCTGGACGGCTGGCTGAGGGAGCAGGACTGGGGCCTCCTCAGGAAGACGGACGTGGCGGTGGGCCCCGACGGGGAGGTCGGGCTCACCTTGGGCCGCAGAGAGCGGGGCGAGAAGGTGAAGACGGGAGCGAACCAGGGCGTCGTGGTCTCGTGGCAGGTGACGAAGGCCATCCTACGGGCGATTGGCAAAGGCGCAGCACCACGGGACCTCCTCTTCCCGATCTCGCAGGACAAGTACAGGAAGGCGTGGAGGCAGGCCTTCGACAGGGCGGGCCTGGCGGACTTCGGCCCCCCGCACTCGCTGAGGCACGCGGGGGCAGCGGCCTACATCGCCGCTGGCGGCTCGCTGGAGGCGGCGCGCCGGAAGGGCCGCTGGCAGACCACGTCGGCCCTTCAGCGCTACACGAAAGTGCACGTGCTGATCGAGCAGCGGAGCCGGCTCACCCCCGCGCAGCTTGAGCGGGGGAGGGCCTCTGGCGCAGGCCCGCCCAGCAGATCTCAGAGGCCATCTACCGTTCCGACGCTGTGCTGGCCCCGCTGGCGCGGGACATGGTGCACGAGCTCGGGGCAGCAAAGAAAGACGAGGTCGTGCTGCCGCAGCTGGAGAGTATGGCGGACGGAGGCGCGGAGCCCACCAGCCGCCCATCCACTGCTGGCCGTAGCAGGGCCAGACGGCAATGAGCAGGCCAGCCTTTTGCGGCCCCCACTCTCATTTCAGGCCCCGCCTTTTGCGGGGGCCATATCTTTTGATATGAATGCAGGAGCCTCGAGATTTGGGCGCGTGCACCCTGTCCTCCACTTGTCTTCCTTGAACATTTGATAGATATGGAGAAAATATAAAGCAGGTTTTTTGGTGGGTGAGAGCGACACAAATTATCTCCCTTCCCCCCCCTCCCGAATGTGTGCCGCGCTCGTGTCTAGCTGTGGCTGGAAGCGTGAAGGCACAAGTGCCAGTCTAGTGATGACGGGACTGGGGGTTTCGCCGCGAGGCTTTTTGGCCCGACCGTGGGCCGAGGCACGGTCAGGTACCTCTCGGCCTTTTATGTTTCGGGCCTCACACGGGGCCCCGCCGCTGCGAACAGATACTTTCGGAGGGTGCCCCCTCCTCTCGAGCCGCTCGCTGTCCTGTGGGGTTGTCTCTCCCGCTGCTGCGTCGGATATTCTGTGGGGCCTCTTTTGATTAGGGTTGTCGCTCTACCCCCGCCTGCCCCCAGCACTCTAAAATCAAGATTTTATGGTATAGGCACGCTCCGAGTTAACATACATTCAAGCCTGGCTCTCGAGTGTGGGTGCTGTGTAAATACGCGTTTTTAAACACACTTTTACACACCCCCTGTAAACGTTCAGATAGCCGCCTCAACTGCAAATTAGGAGGAGGAGTAGCGCAGTCTCTCTCGTGCTTGTCCCTCCTCTCCTGGCGCAAAGTTTCGGCTCCCAACCCTGCCCACCCTTGGGCTTGTATGAGCTCGGGGGTTTCGCCGCGAGGCTTTTTGGCCCGACCGTGGGCCGAGGCACGGTCAGGTACCTCTCGGCCTTTTATGTTTCGGGCCTCACACGGGGCCCCGCCGCTGCGAACAGATACTTTCGGAGGGTGCCCCCTCCTCTCGAGCCGCTCGCTGTCCTGTGGGGTTTCTCTCCCGCTGCTGCGTCGGATATTCTGTGGGGCCTCTTTTGATTAGGGTTGTCGCTCTACCCCCGCCTGCCCCCAGCACTCTAAAATCAAGATTTTATGGTATAGGCACGCTCCGAGTTAACATACATTCAAGCCTGGCTCTCGAGTGTGGGTGCTGTGTAAATGTTCGTTCTCATGCGCATTTGGCGCTTTGCTCGTACGCTTGCCTAGTTGCACCTGTCTGCCCACGCGCGTTGGGCGTATGGCTGCTTCGTTCGTTCGTTCGCCGATGCTGCCCTATGCGACGCACATTCCGATTTGATTCGATGTCCTGATTCAATGTTGATTGATATTGCCCCGTGCAGATGCACGGCTCATTTCCGACCGTGTTGCGGACGGTTTTTTGGATGTGGATCGATGCGCATGTTTCCCCGGCGTGTCTCAGTGCGCATTACGCTGGGTCCTTGGCCGCAACAGAGCGTGGTTCAACAACATGGGGGCAATGGGAGAAGCCTTGCTCGTCAAGCGATGGTGGCTTTTTCTTAACAAACGCATGTCGGACAAATGTGCTGGTAGACGAACTTCGCGGGCAACTCAGGCTGCACCGCTGAGAGCCAGGGTGCGTCTGTGAGGTCATGTGACTGCTTGCCTAGTACCTTCATCATTTGCTTCAGCTCCCACGCTGGGGTTCCCGTTCCAGACCCCCGTTCCGCCTCAGTCTCCCATTCAGGCGTCGGCGTTGGGGTTCTCAACTCTAGAAGCTTGCCGTGCGTTTGCTGTGGCCATTGATATGGCGGGCCAAGTTTGAAAACAGGTTGAAGATTCGGCGTTGGCCGACGGCAGAGACGACCCGAGAGGGCCCCAGGGATACCTCGACCCTAAAGACGCCCGAGGCACCCCCAATGCAGCCGAAGAGAGCCCAAGACAGTCCAAACTGGCTCCGTGAGGTAGCCAATCAGGCGGAGAAAAAACACAGACACAAATTATCGTCGATTCCCAGGAACATGTATGAAAATATTGGAAGTGGGGGGGAAGACCAGAACCAAGAAAATCTAGGAACATATGGGGAATCCGGTTATTTGTGTCCATTTAGTTGTGTGTCCCAGGGGCCCTTCAGACAAGACGGCCAAAGAGGTTTTGAGGAGAACCACAACACACATGCAAGGCTGACCAAGAGGCCCGTTGTGCGCGGCGGTCCACGGCACAGCCCACAGCAGACGTCTTACAGTGGCAGGGGAAGATTTCCTCCTCCTCCATCCTCCTCCTCCTACTCCTCCTTCTCCTCCTCCTCCTTCTCCTCCTCCACATCCAGGGGTCCTCCTTGTGCGTCTGGGGCTCTCTTTGGCCCTATGGGGGCCCCCATGGGCTGTCTTGGGGCCCTCTTCCAGCCGTTTGTTTGGTCTGCTTCTGGGCGGGTCTTTGGTGCGCCCCTGCCTGCATTCAGAAGCCCGGATCAGCGGGTCACATTTTTCAACTCGTTCGCCGCGGGTTTGCCGTGGCGCTGCGGTGGCAAAAATGTGAAGTTGTTGCGCTGGGCGAGGACACGTCAGGAGATCGTCGTCGTCGTCGTCTGCCCCCCTTCCAGATCCCTGTGATCCCGAATATGCCGCCTCCTCGTACTAAGGTTGGAGTTGTGGAGGCAGGTTGGCACCGGTCCTTACGGTCCCCCAGTCAACGAAGACGGCCTTAGGGATGGGTGCCAAATTCCTTCCACAAGTCTGACCTGAACATCTGAAGTCGGATATTGGAACCTATACATTACTAGTGGTGGGCTGCTTTTTAAACCCAGCACTTTTTGAGGGTCGAGGACGACGTGGGAAACAACGAAAAATGTATACACCAGGATCCAGTATACACCAGGGTTCGTTATAGTGTTTGCAAGTTTCAGAGCAGGCCCGGAAGACGCGTCGGTGTATAGAGTTCGGTTCTTTATGAAGGCGCCAATTGCCACCATCCAGTGTTTTCCTCTCTGCTGGGGCCCCCCCGAGGCGACGCCCGAGGCGCGCGAGGCGGCGTGCCTCTTCTGCTGCGGCGAGCCGGAGGTCGGCGACGGCTGCTCCTGGGCTCGGGCGCGCCGCCCTCTCTCCTCGAAGGGGAGGGGAGGGGGATCGGGTCGACCCGGCAAGGGGAAACGTCAGGCTCCACAGCGCCGCCTTGGGTCCCTGCACAGTTGGAGGGGCTGGACGTGTGGAAACTGAAAGCTCAAAAGCATTAGCGTGTGGGGCTGAACTCCCGCCCTGCGGACGCAAACCACCCAGGCCTCACCAGGCCTAAGGAGAGGGGGGGGGGGAAGGAGGGAGGGGGGAGTGCCCCCTATCATGCCTGCTGCCTGCGGCAGGGGCGTGCGGCCGGAACTTGGGCTCAGCGTGTCGCGCTGCCGGTGCTGGCCCACCACACGCCCGCGCGACACGCGAACCGCCCCCCCGGCCCCCGAGCGTCGCCGCCCCGTCGGGCGTGCGGCAATGGGGGGGCGATCAACGGGGGGGGCGTCGAGGGTTGCACGAAAGGGGCCCGAAAGGGGCCCTAAACGAGCCCCCTGGGGCCCCGAAAGGGTACGAAAGGTGTATCTTTCTTACCCCACCATCTACCGCCCCCCCCCCCCATTAGTGAACGCCCGACCCCGAGTTTTTCCCGGCCTTCCGCCCCACAAAACGGAGCCACGTGCCATCAGCTCGCAGGGTGCAGCGTGTCGCCGGGGCCGCCGACGCAGCGCGCTGCGCAGGAGTTCCTGGCCGGAGGAGCTGGCGGGGCCAGTGCGGTGCCGTTGCGCCGCGCGGCGCCAGGCGCTCCCCTGCGGCCACGACTGCTGGCACGCCCAGTGCATCCTGCACTGGCTCTCCGAGTGCAGGAGCGGCCCGGGAGGGGTCCCTCCCAGGTCGATGCGCGGGCGGTCACGAGCGGATGAGGCAAACAAGCTCTCGGCAGGGAGGGGGCAGAGCAGAAGAAAGCCATGCCCCTCCCACGGGACCTTCTCCCGGGCGGGACTGGGCGGGCGATGCGACGGAACTGTCGAGGAGCAGAAGACTATGACCACCTGCTCCCACGCTCCCAACCACTCGCACGCCCATTGACCCAGTTTCACGTTGACGCTGCTGCCTAATTGCATCCCTGAGGCGTTCGCCATTTCTGCGACCCAACAGCAAACCAAATTGATTCGTGACGGTGTCCTAAGCTTTCGGATGCCCCAGAGGGTGAAGAGGTGGAGGATGAGCAAGAAATGCATATGTTGCGGAGGAAAATGCAGGGGAGAGGGGCAAGAACAGGAGCACCAGGAGGAGGAGAATGAGGAGGAGATGAGGAGGAGGAGGAGAAGGAGGAAGAGGAGGTGGAGTGAAGAAGGTGAGGGAAAGGCTGGGCATGAGCTTCGAATACCCAAGCAGGCTTCTTCAATGTTTGTGCAGCGAGCGGAATTTAGAGAGTGAGAGCGCAGCTCTCCAGGCCATGGCACACGGCTGGGGGATGGGCTCGCATCGCATGTGCCCGAGGCAATCTCTGGGCCACATCGGGGCCCTCTGGTCAACGCTCTGGGGTTGCTGTGGGTTGTCCCTGGGCCTTAGGAGCCGCCTGGGCCGCACCTGAGATCCGGATGTTGCAATTGTTTCACACTGGGCGCTTTCGCTGGACGATGGCGTCAGGGCTTCATTCGTGACTTCTCGCGATGGCGCATATGTTGTGTTAAATTGGGTCTCAGCGTCCCGCGTGGTTTTCTCTGGCTGTATGGTGTTTCTCCTGTCCGGTTCGGGCTGTGTGGTTCCGTCTGGAGGCCTGCCTGGGCATTATCATGACTCTCCCTCCTACGAGGGGAAAGAACATCAACGAGTCCTGCCATTGTGAGTTCGTGAGCGGGTTACTCATCCGTCTTTGTGTCCGAAGGTCAGGCGTTTCTCAATCAGTAACAGGCAGATGGGTTCTCATCGGCGGCTTGTCATTGATAGTGGTTTGGCTCTCCGACTCCTGGGGCCAAGCTCAAACCAAGCCAGCATCAGGGGTATGAGTTGTCATCCCCCTCCCACCTTCCATTTTGTGTCGTGTCGGGAGCCTCGGTGGCAGCTCCTGGAAGGCTCAATTCAGCATCGGTGCTGGCAGATCCTAGGTCGAAAGCAGTTCTGCTCTTGCCTAGCCCTGCTTAGTCCGCCCCCATTCTGCTTAATCCAGGTTGGTTTTGGATTTAATCTGGTCTGATGCCGATTTAATGGTCCTTCATACGAAATAGGCCGTGATCGTTCCTGAGAAGATCACCTTTGAGTTGCTTCCTATGAGCTACCAAGTCCGTCTGCATGACTTCCGTGTCAACGGTACCAGTCGTACAGTTCCCATCGGGTGATGCTTCCCGATGTGGATATATGTGTTCAGATACTCCAGATTGTCCAGGTTAAGTGATGGCACCTGTATCGGGATCCGCGTTTGTAGAAGACTAAAGTCTTCATTGCGTGGAGCCCCCCATATGTGCATCTATTCGCATGGACCTGTCCGCCGTGAGATTCTAGGCGCATGAGTTTTCGAATCTAAGCGGGCTTGAGTTGTGACGGTCTGGTCATGAATCTAACTTCGAGTGGATTGGAGCGTGAATGAGTCTCCATAGTACGAGCGCGTCTCTGCGCATGAGCTTGGGACCTCCTTGGGCCTCCAGAAACCTCCTGAGCCTTCCTGGGGCCTCCTGGAGCCTCTTGGGGCCTCCTGGTGCCTCTTGGGGCTTCGAGTGGCCTCCTGAAGCCTCCTGGAGCCTCGCGTAGCCTCCTGGAGTCTCATGGAGCCTCCTGGGACCTCCTAGGGAGGATTCGTGCCCCAGGAGACGCCCGATCTATAGGAACAGGCGTACATCAAACATTGCGGATTGGAGCCACAGGAGCACACATAAAACACCAAGGACTCGTGCCCCAGGGGAGGCCCAACATATGGGAACAGACGTAACACAATTAGGATTGCATGCACAGGGGAAGGACAGCATATGTATATATATATATATATATATATATATATACATATATACATATATTTCTATATACAGAAACATGCGTATAACATCAAGGATTCGTGCTCCAGGTGAGGCCCAATCTATAGGAGCATACGTAAAACACATGGGATTGGAGCCACTCCTGTTGCCTTCTGAGGCCTCCTGCTCCTGGGGCCTCTCGGGGCCTCCTGTTGCCTGGGACCTGGCGCTTCCCGTGGCCTCATGGGGCCTCCTGTGGCTTCCTGAGGCCTCCTGGAGCTTCATGGGGCCTCCTGGCGCCTCTTGGGACATCCTGTGGCCTCTGGAATCTTCCTGTGGCCTCCTGATGCCTCCTGGGACCTCATGTGGTGCCCACGAGTCTGGCCATCAAAACAGGCAAACCTATCGAGACATCCTCAACACCTGCCCCCCCCCCCCAGGGGGCGAACATGGGCGCCTCGCTCGAGACATCCTCCAAATCTGCTCCGAAAGCGGAGGAGGTGGGGACCAAGACAGGCAAACCGCTTGAGACATCCCCGCCATTTGGGCGCGAACGGAGGCCGTGCAATACCCCTGGCGGCCCCCCTTAGGAGGCGCCTCGCACGAGACATCCTCCAAATCTGCTCCGAAAGCGGAGGATGCTGGGGACTAAAACAGGCAAACCGCCTGAGACATCCCCACCATTTGGGCGCGAACGGAGGCCGTGCAATACCCCTGGCGCCCCCCCCCCCCCTTAGGAGTGCTAAAACCAGCAAGCCGCTCGAGACATCTTCATCATCTGCTCATCGTCATCATCATCATCATCATCATCATCGTCATCATCATCATCATCATCAGCAGCAGCAGCATCATCATCATTATTGTTATCATCACCACCATCACCATCATCATCATCACCATCATCATCATCGTCATCAGCATCATCACCATCATCATCATTACCAGCATCATCATTATCATTATCATTATAATTATCATTACCAGTATCAGTAACATCATCGTCATACCCATCCACCACCCACAATCACCATCATACTCACATCATGCTCTCACCATACCATGGTCATCATCAGGGAGAGGTGGTCTGGCGCGGTCGGATAAATATCTACTGCATAGAGCCCCCCATATGTGCATCTATTCGCATGGACCTGTCCGCCGTGAGAGCCTAGGCGCAAGAGTTTTCGAATCTAAGCGGGCTTGAGTTGTGACGGTCTGGTCATGAATCTAATTTCGAACGGATTGGAGCGTGAATTAGTCTCGTTAGTACGAGCGCGTCTCTGCGCATGAGCTTGGGGCCTCCTGGGGCCTCCAGAAACCTCCTGGGCCTTCCTGGGGCCTCCAGGAGCCTCTTGGGGCCTCCTGGGGCCTCGAGTAGCTTCCTGAGGCCTCCTGGAGCCTCGCGTAGCCTCCTGGAGCCTCATGGAGCCTCCTGGGACCTCCCAGGGAGGATTCGTGCCCAAGGAGAAGCCCGATCTATAGGAACAGCCGTACATCAAACATTGCGGATTTGAGCCACAGGAGAAGGGCAGTCTGTAGGAGCACACGTAAAACACTAAGGACTCGTGCCCCAGGGGAGGCCCACCACATAGGAACAGACGTAAAACATTTAGGATTGTATACCCAGGAAAAGGTCAATCTATAGAAACATACGTATACCATTGAGGATTCGTGCGCCAGGTGAGGCCCAATCTGTAGGAGCATACGTCAATCACATGGTCTCCTGTTGCCTTCTGAGGGCTCCTGCTCCTGGGGCCTCCTGTTGCCTGGGCCTCCTGGCGCTTCCCGTGGCCTCCTGGGGCCTCCTGTGGCTTCCTGAGGCCTCCTGGAGCTTCCTGGGGCCTCCTGGAACCTCTTGGGACATCCCGTGGCCTCTGGAATCTTCCTGTGGCCTCCTGATGCCTCCTGGGACCTCATGTGGCCTCCTGGGGCCTCCTGAAGCCTGCTGGAGCCTCCGGTGGCATCCTGGGGAGAATATGTGCCCACGAGTCTGGCCACCAAAACAGGCAAACCGATCGAGACATCCTCAAAACCTGGCCCCCCTGGGGGGAAACATGAGCGCCTCGCTCGAGACATCCTCCGAATCTGCTCCGAAAGCGGAGGAGGTGGGGACCAAAACAGGCAAACCGCCTGAGACATCCCCGCCATTTGGGCGCGAACGGAGGCCGTGCAATACCCCTGGCGGCCCCCCCTTAGGAGGCGCCTCGCACGAGACATCCTCCAAATCTGCTCCGAAAGCGGAGGATGTTGTGGACCAAAACAGGCAAACCGCCTGAGACATCCCCACCATTTGGGCGCGGACGGAGGCCGTGCAATACCCCTGGCGGCCTCCCCCCGTCGGAGTGCTAAAACCAGCAAGCCGCTCGAGACATCCTCATCATCTGTTCATCGTCATCATCATCATCATCATCATCATCATCATCATCATCATCATCATCATCATCATCATCATCGTCATCGTCATCGTCATCGTCATCGTCATCGTCATCGTCATCAGCATCATCATGATTATAATGATCATTATCATACTCATCCATCACTCACCATCACCATCATACTCACATCATACTCGTCATCATCAGCGACGGGTGGTCTTGTGCGGTCGGAGAATAGCAAGAACCCCATCCTTTGGATATGGGGAGTAACAATAAACCCTTCCTTAAATATGGGGAAAAATTGTGCCTCACCGTCTGCACCCGCACGAGACTGCTCAGCGAATCAACAAATTGCATTGAACACGTGAATGTCATGGTGAACTGATCGGCAACACCTGTGCACACACATGGCCTGCCCGCGGACTTGGCGACGATGCCCTCCCAGTTATCTATCGTCCTCCCCCCTTGCCCATCTCCCTTGCGCAACCAGCAAATCCCTCCCCTCGCCCACTGCTCCGCGAGCTCGATGGTTCCCCAAATCCGGCAACCTTCCCCTCCCCGCGCCCGCCACCTCAGCTCCCTTTGGCAGCTCCCCCCTGGCCCCCCCCCCGTCCACCGCTCCACCCAGCCTGCGCGCACCCCCCTCATCCCCTTCTCCCGGGCCCTGCTCGCTTCCCGCCCCCTCCCGTCACCATACTCTCCAAGGATGAGGAGGAGGAGGAGGAGGAGGAGGAGGAGGAGGAGGAGGAGGATCCTCATCTTCACCCCTATCCCCTTCGTCTATCCCCAGGCAGCGCGGGTGGCTCCTGACAGGGCATCCGCGCGTCTCGGGCGGCAGGCCACGCCTGCCGACCCAGCGCCGCAGGGCTCATCGCTGGCCGTGCCCTCTGGCGCCTGGAGCCGCTGCGCGCTCCCCGCACATCCGATCTCTTGATGGTGTTCCTGCAGGGCCTCCGGAAGTCCCGACCCCTTTCCCAGGGCGGGCCTTCCATCCTGAGCCGTTTCGTGACGGTCCCGGGGCCCCGCGATGGCTCCCAGAAGCCGAGCATTGCGAAGAGCAGCGTGCCGCCGTGTTAGCACGCTGGGGGTCCAGGCCCCCTCCGCCGAGCTGCCACCGCATCTGGACATGCCCGTGTGATGTAGACGAGCCCGCGTGCACAGCGTCGCAGTCGCTTGGTCTCGGGCGAAGAGCTGTGCACAAACACCGATCCTGTCCAGGCCCAGCCTGTGCACAGGGTTCAGTGCACGAGCCTCCCTGGCCCGAGCCAGGAGGGCGTGAGCATCGATCCTGGGCTCAGGATGGGCCTGCTCAGGATCGGTGTTTGGGCACAGCTCTCGCTCTTCTACTGTCGTCCCTCTGTCGGAGCCCCCCTGGTTCTCGGCTCTCCGGCGGCCGTCCGGGGCGGTTCGGGCACCCCCAGAGCGCTCTCGGCGAGGCGCAGCTCCTGGAGGGCATCCCGACGAGGACGGAGAACCGCGGAGAATCGACGATCAGTATCGTTTATCCGGTCCCCATCCCCATCCACATCCCTTTCGAGACCCCCACCAAATTACCGCCCCAGTTGAGGATACACCCCTCGAATCCCGAAGGGAACGGCCTATATCCCCATCTAGGGGGGTAAATCGGCCAGTGGGGCCCAGGCCACGTCGCTGGGGATGGGGATCGGTTAAACGATACTCAGACGAGAACGCTGATTCACGAAAGTGAAGCAAAGGTAGCACTGCTTGCCCCATGCATGCGCTGTGTCTTCTGGCCCTCCGCTTCTCTCCCTGCCTTCTGCCTCTGCAGCAATTTCAGACCAGGCGGGACCGCTTGTGCCACCCTCCCATACTCGTTGTCCGCCTGCCCCCGCTGGGGCACCGGTGGCAGTCTGCGCGGCGAGGTGCCGCTTGCAAATCGTTCTCGTCCTCGTGGTCTTGCGCAGTGCAACAACATATGGGAGGGGAGGTGGGTAACATGCATGCGGAAGCCTCGAACCTGAAGCCTCCCCCCCAGCGCGTATTCGATGTAGGTATTGGTAAGCTTGCTTGCATGGCGTTTGGGCGTTTCCTCCCCCCGCCGCGTTTTCGAACAGCGCTGGGCCGGAAAGGCGTGCTAGTGAGTCCCGACTTGTGCGAAGTGCAGATTCACTTTCGGACCTCGCCACGCGCCTCACCCCAATGCAGGGAATGGAGGAGTGCGGGGAAGAGGAGGGAATGGAAGAAACCATGGATATCCTCGAATTTCCTCCTCCACCTCAGAACCCCCATCCTGTTTCTGCTCCATCCCCTCCTGCCCTCCTTCTCCTCCTCCTCCTCCTCCTCCTGCTCCTCCTCCTCCTCCTCTTCCATTCCTTTCCCCCCCCCCCCTCCCTGCAAGCAAACCTGCCTCAACGCCTCCCGCAGCCCAGGACCTGCCCCCTCTGCCGCGCAGGGGTGCCCCCCACCTGGTTCGCCGGCGCGGGCGCCCACGGCAGGCCTGACAGCGGGGGGCCGGGTGGTTTTTGGGGCAGCGTGGCGGGGTGCGGCGAGAGGGGACCATCGTTCGTCTGAGGGACCGATGTGGGCACGGACAGAATGGACACGAGGACCTACAGCAGTTGTTGTTCATTCTGAACAGGACTCGTTGTCGGTGTCGACGCGGACGTTGTCCATTTCAGACAGAGGGCCGCCTGCCCAGCAGCGGTCGCTGTCGGTTTGGGATTTGTTGCTGGACATCGTGCCCAGTTTTCGGTACAGTCAACCATGATAGTAAGGATAGGGCAACTTTCCAAGGTTTCCCTTGCATCCTTGCCACTTCGGTATTCGGCATCCTTCGGCAGTCTGCTGCGCTCCGCACGGGAAACGTCAACATGGCGTTCCAAGGCCCTTGCATCCTTACCGCGCATCCTTACTATCCTGGTCGAGTGTACCCATGTCGGGCATCCACAGTTTGGTTGGGTTGCGAAGTTGACCTCAGAAGAGGTCGCCCCGTAGGGGTCCAGAAGGCGGTGCGGCGTTCGAGTGGCCAGAAGAGGCCGGGAGGGGCACGCAACGAGGCGGGGACGCGCGAGGACGGGGCGCGGGGATTTGGGGGGAGGAGGAGGAGGAGGAGGAGGAGGAGGAGGAGGAGGAGGAGGAGGAGGAGGAGGAGGAGGAGTTGGAGGATGAGGAAGGGGAGGAGGAGGAGGAGGAGGAGGAGGAGGAGGAGGAGATGCGGAGGAGGAGGAGGCGGAGGAAGAGGAAGAGGAGGTGAGGAGGAGATGGGGGAGGAGGAGGACGACGACGAAGAGGAGGGCGACGAAGAGGAGGACGACGAAGACGATGACGACGAAGAGGAAGAGGAGGATGAGGAGGAACATCAGGAGGAGGAGGAGGAGGAAGGGGAGTTGGAGGAGAGGTGGAGGAGGAGGATGAGGAGGAGTAGGAGGAGGAAGTGGAGGTGAGAAGGAGGAGGAGGAGGTGAGGAGGAGGTGAGGAGGAGGAGGAGGAGGAGAAGGAGCAGGAGAACCGCTATCGCCCAATCCCGCCCCATTTTCCCCACAGAGGGGCCGAGGCGGCGGCCAGCTCAGGCCCGCGACATACGCGCACACAGACAACCTGATCGTTTCTTGTCGCCCCCTGCTTGCGGCCACGCCGTCATTCGTGGCAAGATCGAAATCACCTGCCTGGCACAGGCGACTACGTCGAGAACGAGCCGTCGCCCGAGTACTGCAGCGGAACGCTAAAGCACGACAAGTACTCGATGCACACCGTAATGCGAAACGGCCACCACGACATCCACAACAAGCTCCAGCAATGGCGTCACTGTGGCGATCAACATCGAATCGAACGCCGAGCAGGGGTCCACCTACGCGACAGATGTCTCCTGCGGTATGTGCGGGATTGGAAAATGGAATAGTGACCGGTGGACTGCAAAATGGGCAGCTCGACGTCTTGACGAGTAATGGCACAGGGGCGCGGGAAAGAACACCAAGGGCACGAACGGCAAGGGCAAAAGCAGTTTTCCCTAAGCCGCACGATGACCACACCCAGAGCAAGGACATCCCGCAGAAGGACAAGCAGAAGGATAAGAAAGGCAAGGTGAGCCAACAACCACAACAGGACAAGGGGACCCATGCTAAGAAGAAGCAGCGAGAGGCAAACCCGAGACTGTAGCGACCACGTCGCCGGGGCTTTCAACAGCGTTATTCCCATTTGCAAGGTCTACGCAGCAAGCAGGCCCGACTGGGAACCACCGTCAATCCACCCCACCTTCAAACATGGAGTGGTATAGTATCAAATAAACAGCGTACGGAGGCTGCGGCCATTATGAAGGACAGCATCGCCGGGTTTCAAACCACTGACGCCGAGACACACATCGACTTCGTCAAAACTACGATCGTCAGCAGCATGCCGCTCGCCCAGCAAGCCAGGGAAGTCGAGCGCACCAAGGATGTCATGGAGGACCACCTCGAGCACACACTACGGCGCACCACGAGGAGCCGGTGGTCTAAATGGCAACAGTGCAGGGAAATACCAAGAATTACAACATGTCAGGAGGGACATCCAATTCCGCAAGGGGCATGGCCTACGCCAGCACCGGGCCCGCCGATGACGAGACGGAACCATCTCACAGGGAAGGCCAATCGAGGAGGGCCGCAACGCTGGCGCCTAGGAGGTAGAGAGCGGCCGGGGAGTCGACTGGAAGACGCAACATTGGGGCCGTCTTGAAAACGCTGCAGGAAGACAACCAACATCTCATCCATGACGCCAGGAACATCAGAAATGAGGCCAATGAGCAGTTCGACAGCCAGACAACAGGAGTTGCGACAGCACCTGCGAGGCGTCGGGGCCAACGTAGAGAACGAGCGGAGGAATCAAAGGCAGACCGCAAACGAAGACGGCCGAACTCAGCAAAAGCCGAACGAGGATCTCGCCGCCGCCATAACTACTCACAACAAGTTGCCCGCGCACCATGCGCATAATAACGATCCACAGCCAAGCTCCACGGCGCTGAAGAGGAATTGGAAATCATCGAGAACGTCAATGTTGACTCACAGAAAAACAACACTACCCCAGGAGAGGCGCCGTGGACGCCGTGAACAGATTGAACAACGCACAACAACCTCTCGAGCGCCACGAGCAGGACCGCAACGCCATGCAACAACACATGCAACGGGCAGAAGACAACCGCCGAAAGATATGCCTACGGCAACGAGATGAAGGAGATAGAGCGCCGCGGCCACCTCATCGGAGCGCAGTGAATACGCGACTCCAGTGAGCGAGCACAGCTACGCAGACGCGCGATAAGGTCCGACCACCCTTCTCGAAACGCCCACGCCAAGACACTACGCCGAGGAAGACGCATCCAGCTACGATTCACCGGCGTCGAGAGGCAGGTGCGCGGTTGAGGCGCCGAGTCAGCGCAGCGCCATGAACAACTGCTGAACATCACGACAGCAGGCGCGAATGAGTACCTGGAGCAGACACAGCAAAAAACAGATCATGCAGGAGGACACTCCCGGATTGTCCCTGCGGGAGCGGAGACGGGATCGCACCAGCAGGGCGAGGCCCGCCAGCGCGAGATTGATTTGCACAAGCTGGAGGAGGCAACGTGGAGAGAACGGAACACCACCCACCAGGAGCGCACCGAGGAGGCCACCCAGGAGTTCATCCACGCGCAGAAAGTGGCCGCACAGGCACAACAGCGCCGATCGCACATGAAGGTACTTGACAGACTAGAGAAGGCGCAGTCCACTGGCGATCCCCAGCGACGCCGATGGGGTCGGGACATCGCGCGCTACTGGCGGGGCCACGGCCCGCGTGAGATGCGACTCTGGGCGCTGCGCGACCGACGCAGTCCCAGAGTGGCCGCGGCCGCCAGCGCGAGAGCAATCGCGGCCTCCCCAACGGGGCGCGACCGGCAGCGCGTGCCATTGCCAGCAGAGCAGTTGCTGCACGACCACCACGCGTTCCATTCGTCGACCTCGACGCGCAGCGCGCGCCCACTGGGCGAGAGCCAAGGCGGGCAAGTCGTCGACCTGCTGCGCGGCAGCCAGGAGCGTGGCCCGCCACAGCCAGCCGCGCCCAGTTCGTGGATAGCGAGACCACTGCCTCCAGACCAACCAGATAATCTTGTTGTCCTGGCAGATCATCGAGGCACCGACATAGAGATTGATGAGGTAGCGCTATTTCTAGGGCAGGGGAAGACGGCCACTGACTCCGCGATCCTTGTTGCGCCATCGCCGCCGAGGAAGGAGGGCGACGGCCTGGCGACCGCCGAGGAGATGATCTCGCAGGCGCCCCCCCCCCCTCACGGGATCTTCATCGGCGCGCCGGGGAGGCGGGCGCCCCTACCGCAAGGAAGGGCGCGCTCAGCACCTGCCGCGAGAAGCTGGAGCGCCGGGACAAAAAAGGGCCCGCCGAGCTGGGGCCGCATGCTCAACTGGAGAACGAGGCACCAGGCATCGTGAGGCTGCACAAAGGTCACGCTGCCGATGGCATGGCTGGAGCGCCACGCGACGAGGGCGCGCCCCCGGACCGGTCCGCCTCGCCAAAAACGGCGCGCAATTTTCAAACGTTTCTCCCGACAGAACCTAGCGGCACAATGAGAGGCGCCCGACGGCCCAGCCATCGCCAGAGGGCCTGGCTCGGCGCCATTCAGGCAGATTGCGCCGCCCAACACCCCCCACCTACCCACCCGCCCGCGCGCGAGTCCAGAGCGGCGGCAACGGAGACGACGCGATGAACGCACGGCGATTCGCGAGCACACCATTTGCCGCGGAGCCAACGAGCACCCGACTTCTCGAAATGGCACTCAGCTGGAGTCAAGAGCAATCAGTCCGACAAGAGGGGGCGCAGGATGAAGGTCGACCGCTCAATCATCCGGCGCACGGCAGGCTGCAGCTGTTCAGGCTCATAACGGACAGGTCGTTACCGCCGACCGACCCTGCCACATGCGAGGGGAAACCTGGCGCGAGGCCCACCCCGCCGGTCGGCCATCGACGCCCGCCGTTCGATCGACATTCGATGTGACGAGCCGATCGCCGAAGTCCCGCGACGCACCTCCCCACCGCGACCTGCCGCCCAATTCCCATGCCCACCAGAGAAAGAGATCCCACCCAGCTGCTGTCATGGCATTGGAGCTAGCGCCTTCACGACGGACAGTCCGAGGCAGTCGAATTCACCTCTACGCCGACGGGGCGCGCCAATCCGATTCTGCCAGGCTTGCGCGGGCCGTCGTCACCACCGTCGAGGACGACGTAGGCCGCGCACACCTTCGCAATGGCAGCCAGACCATCAAGTGCTACGTATCTAGGCAACTTGGCGACTACGGCACAGCTGCGCCCACTGCGTCAGAATTGGCAGCTCTCATATGGGCCTGCGCCTAAAGCGACGCGCAGAAAGGTTACATGCTGCAATGTTCCAACAATTGCCCACACCGACTCCAAGGTGGCAGATAGTCTTACCGCAGGACGACGCAGAGCACGAGCCGGCCACGACGCGTCATGCGTAG